TCTCTCGCTGGTACACTAATGGCTGAACTCACGACCATGAAGTTTGATGGGTCGCGTAGTATGTAAAATCATATCATCGAGATGACTAACATTGCAGCAAGACTTCAGACCTTGGGGATGAAAGTGGATAACTCCTTCTTGGTTCAGTTTATTCTGAACTCGTTACCTCCTGAGTATGGACCTTTTCAAATTAACTATAACACTATTAAGGATAAGTGGAATGTTAGTGAATTGTCCAGTATGCTTACTCAGGAGGAGTCAAGACTTAAGAAACAAGGGACTCATTCAATTAACCTCACGGGTCAAGGAGCTGGTAAAGGACTTAAAGTGAAGGCCAACAAGTTCAAGAAGAAGAAAGCACCTGCTAAAGCTCAACAGGATGCTAACAAGGAACATAAGGCAGATACGTGTCTTTTGTGTAACAAGGAAGGACACTATCAGAAAGATTGCCTGAAACGTAAAGCTTGGTTCGAAAAGAAAGGTACAATTAGTGCTTTTGTATGTTTCGAATCAAATTTAGTAGAAGTTCCTAATAATACTTGGTGGCTTGATTCTGGTACAACTGCTCATGTATCTACTACGTTGCAGGGATTCCTTACGATCCAAACTACAAATCCAAATAAGGATTTCTTGTTCATGGGAAATCGTATGAAGGCTCCAATTGAAGGCATAGGGACTTATCGTTTGATCATGGAGATTGGACGTCACCTTGATCTATTACAGACTCTTTATGTACCTTCAGTTTCTAGGAATTTGATTTCTCTTTCAAGACTTGATGTTTCTGGATTTGATTTAAAGTTTGAAAATGGATGTTTCAATTTATATAAAAATGCTATTTTTTATGGTTCTGATTTTCTTAGTGATGGTTTATATAAATTGAAGCTCGATATTGGTTTTCCTGAATCCCTTCTTAATGTTCAACATAATGTTGGAATTAAACGTAGTTCACTAGATGAAAGTTCTGCTTACTTGTGGCATAGACGTTTGGGTCATATATCCAAAGAAAGGTTAGAGAGATTAGTAAAGAATGAGATTCTTCCGAATCTAAATTTTACTGATCTTACCATATGTTTGGATTGCATTAAGGGAAAGCAAACCAAGCATAGTAAGAAAGGTGCCACAAGAAGCACCCAGCTTCTTAAAATTATACAAACCGATATTTGTGGACCCTTTGATGTTCCATCTTTTGGTGGAGAGAAATATTTTATCACGTTTATCGATAATCTTTCACGTTATGGATACATCTATTTGCTGAAAGAAAAATCTCAAGCAGCAGATGCTCTCAAGGTGTTTATTAATGAGGTTGAGAGGCAATTAGATAAAAAGGTGAAAATCATTAGGTCAGATAGAGGTGGTGAATATTATGGAAAATATAATAAGTCAGGACAATGTCCAGGTCCATTTGCAAAGTTTCTCGAGGAATGTGGCATATGTGCACAGTATACTATGCCAGGAACACCTCAACAAAATGGTGTTGCAGAAAGGCGTAATCGAACACTTATGGACATGGTTAGGAGCATGATAAGTAATTCCTCATTACCCAAATCATTGTGGATGTATGCTCTTAAAACCGCTGTATATTTATTAAACAGGGTTCCTAGTAAGGCAGTTCCAAAGACCCCTTTTGAACTGTGGACTGGAAGGAAACCTAGTTTAAGTCACCTGCATATTTGGGGTTGCCCAGCGGAAGCTAGAGTTTATAATCCACAAGAAAAAAAATTAGATTCTCGAACAGTAAGTGGTTACTTTATTGGTTACCCAGAGAAATCTAAAGGGTATGTGTTTTACTGTCCAAACCATAGTTCGAGTATTGTTGAACCGGTAACGCAAGATTCATTGAGAATGGTGAAGTTAGTGGGAGTGTTGGAAAGCAAAGTTTGGAAATTAAAGAGGTGAGGGTCAATATTCTATTACCCATAAATGTGCCTACTTCCACACAAATGCCAAAGATTATTCCAGTTGTTGAAGAACACCTTGACAACACCGAGCAACATTTGGATGAAACACTTCATGAAGAAACTAACTCACAAATATCTGACACAAATGAACCACAAGAAATGCCATTAAGAAAATCTCAAAGAGTTAGAAAATCGGCTATTTCGGATGATTACGTGGTTTATTTGCAAGAGTTAGATTTTGACATTAGTCTTAATAAGGATCCGATTTCATTTTCACAAGCCATAGAAAGTAATGAGTCTGACAAATGGATTGATGCCATGAAGGAAGAGTTAAAATCCATGAAATACAATAAAGTCTGGGATCTCGTTGAATTGCCAGAAAGTTCTAAAAGAATCGGGTGTGGGTGGGTCTTTAAGACCAAACGCGATTCAAATGGCAATATTGAGAGATACAAAGCTAGACTTGTTGCCAAGGGTTATACTCAGAAAGGAGGCATTGATTATAAAGAGACCTTTTCACCGGTCTCAAAGAAAGACTCGTTAAGAATTATTATGGCTTTGGTGGCTCATTATAATTTAGAGTTACACCAAATGGATGTGAAAACTGCCTTTCTTAATGGAGATCTCGAGGAGGAAGTGTATATGGACCAACCAGAGGGTTTCGAAACTAAAGGAAAAGGTCAAATGGTGTGTAAACTGAAGAAGTCAATATATGGACTTAAACAAGCCTCACGACAATGGTATATAAAGTTTAATGATACCATAACATCTTTTGAATTTGTGGAAAATACCGTTGATCGGTGTATATACCAAAAGATCAGTGGGAGCAAGTTTATATTTTTAGTCCTATATGTTGATGATATTCTACTTGCTGCTAATGATTTAGGCATATTGCGTGAGACTAAAGATTTTCTCTCTAAGAATTTTGAAATGAAAGATATGGGTGAGGCATCCTATGTGATAGGAATAGAAATATTCCGTGATAGATCACAAGGATTATTGGGATTGTCTCAGAAAGGCTATATCGAAAGAGTTCTAGAGAGATTTAACATGAACAATTGTTCAGCAGGAATTGTTCCAATTCAAAAAGGGGACAAAGTTAGTCTCATGCAATGCCCTAAGAATGATGTAGAACGAAAAGAAATGGAATCAATTCCTTACTCTTCAATTGTTGGTAGTCTGATGTATGCTCAGACTTGCACAAGACCGGATATCAGTTTTGCGGTCGGAATGTTAGGAAGATATCAGAGTAACCCAGGAATTGATCATTGGAAAGCTGCAAAGAAAGTTTTGAGGTACCTGAAAGGAACAAAGGATTACATGCTCATGTATAGAAGGTCCAAGCATTTGGAAGTTGTTGGATACTCGGATTCAGATTTCGCTGGATGTATTGACACTAGAAAATCCACGTTTGGTTATTTGTTCCAATTAGCTGAAGGAGCAATATCGTGGAAGAGTGCCAAACAGTCTGTCATTGCTACATCCACGATGGAAGCAGAATTTGTGGCGTGTTTTGAGGCCACAATTCATGCATTATGGCTGCGAAACTTTATTTCAGGACTTGGGGTTGTCGACACCATTACCAAGCCGCTGAAAATTTACTGTGATAATTCTACAACAGTATTCTTCTCCAAGAACGATAAGTACTCCAAA